AAACAGACGGGGAAAAACACGAGGGGAGTTTTTGCGTCCCTTTTCCACCGAACCCCCCACCCCCTCCCCTTTACTCGGCAAACCCCCTCCCGTTCGGGACATCAAGGGCTTTTACAACCATTATCTGAGTATTGGTGGGACACTGAGGGAAGGGTGAAAATAACTCCAATTTTTCCCCTCTTCACATTTAGGGACGCAAGGTGGGAATTTTGGGTTTTCCAAAATAGAGTGTTCCTGCCCCCCCCATTGCAATTTGCCCTCCAGCCATGGTCAGAGCTCTTGGAAAACTGTCTCTACAACACCCCTTTTTCGTATTGTCCGGAACCAAAACCCTAATTTTTCACAATTTTCATCTAAAAAATTTAAACCTTTTAAATAATTTGTAGAGTAATTTTATATTTCAGAGGCCCCCCAAAATTTAAAAAATTTAAAATATCTTATCTTATCTAAATATGTAAAAAACAATTTACAAAAAAATAACAAATAAAATTTAAAAGCCGTTTTCCTGAAAAAGGGTTATTTAAAAAAAATTTGGAAAAAAATTTTTTTTTTGGTTTTTTTTTAAATTTTTATTTTCACCCAAATTGGCTTTCCCTCTGGCAGTGACCTGATCCCTAGCCACCACCGCCCCCCAAACCCCTGGCCCAACACTTCACTGTCTTAGAAACAAACACTTCGTCATTGAGGCAATGAGCCCTTAATTTCTCTCTCCGATTAAAAAAAACAATTTAAAACATGAAAATATTTTGAAAATATAAGAAAAATTTTTTTTTCGGTTTTATTTTAACTTAAATACCTTTTGGGAGTTTGGAGGGATATGTTGGAAACTTTTTTATTTTATATGCTTCTAAACTGTTGTTTCCCGAGCACCTCTGCAAAAACAGTGATTTAAAGTGTGGTTTTGGTGAAAGTGTTTAAAGTGAAAGTATTTTTTTTTTGGGAATTTTTCTTTCTTTTTTTGGGGCACCCTGCCTCGGTTGAGACGGCCGAAATTGTTTAAAAAAAAAAAAAAAAATTTTTTTTTTAAAAATTTGGGGCCCTCTTCCACCGAAAGGGAGGGTTAAAAGGTTAATTTGATTTGAAGCTTGAAAAACTGCATACAGAAGCCTTTAAAAAATACCCTTTTACCTCAGTAGAAAAATTTTTTGTTTTTTGAGTGTTTTTTAACAATTTGAAGCAAGGGTAAATATTAAAAAAAATTTTTTTTAAAACATTGTAACTGTTTTTTTCTCCCATATCAAGAAATATTAATAATCCCCGTTTTAAAACAAAACATCTTTTACATTGTGGTGGAATTGTGGTCTTCATATAACAAAAAAAAATCTAGTGTAAAGACAAAGGGGGGCCCCAAAACAAGATAATTTTTTATGGGGAATTCATTATAGGGTTCCTGCCCAAAGGGAAACATCAATGACCCTTTAAAAAAATTTTTATTCAAACTTACAACAGACTCTTCCCCGGCCAGTGAATGTTTGTGGGAAAAACTTATTAAGTTTCTACAAGAAAGATTTGAGTTTTTTAATTATCTTTTTTAGTAGAGGGGGGAAATGGTCCCCGGACAGAACCAAAAAATTTTTTCATAAAATTTCCTCTCCCAAAATACAGGGTTTTTTGCGATTTGTTCCAGCCACTATTGTGACTAGCCATTTTTTTCTTCTCTGTGGGGCAGTAAAGCAGTTTTTGGGGGTATGAATTTTAAAATAACAGTATGGGACTACCGGGAGGTCCCCCGCGCAGAAAAATCCTCTTCTTTCCTTCCATTCAGGGGGCCCCAGACTCGTCGAAGCTGAGGATGTTTGCGTGAGCACGAGAGGGAAAAGGACAAGGGGACGTGTAGCTGGTTGGTGAAGGAGGGGATATCACCCACAACACTGCCTCTCCCGTAGCCCGCTTCGGCTGACCCCTGTGTGTCAAGGGCCGGCCCCATGGAAAATCAATGGAAAAATTTTTCCTTTTAGGGGACCTACAAAAAAAAATTTTCTTTTTACCTTTTAGATAACCATAAAAAGGGGAGTAGTTGCCAAAATCCCCCCTGCCTTAAAAATTATGGCACCAAATTCCCCAGCATTTAAAAATTCTTTTAAATGGGGTGATTTTTTTGGTTTTGTTAGTTATTTTTTAAATTTATGGTTAATTTTTTCCCAATTTTTTTTTTCCTCCAACCCCAAATTTTTTTTTTTTTTTTTTTCGTTTTTTTTATAACCGAGAAATTTCTGGTAATTTTTTTAGTTGTTTTTCATGACTTTTTTTGGGTTTTTTTTCCATAATGAATATCTTAAAGAAAATATTTTTCCCTTCCCCTTTTTTGGATTTCCCGAAAAAAAGGGGGGTCTGTATGATGCTAAAAAGATCTGATTTTACATTTTTTAAGGGTTTTTATTTGAATTTGCAAAAGAAAATACTACTCCTGGTTTTGTTTTAAGTAATTTTAAAATTCCCGGGCCAAAAAAGGGAAAAACCAAAAAGCGAAAATTAAAAATTTTAGTTTTAGGGGTTTTTTTTTGGGGTGAAAAAACTTTCTCTCAAGATGGAAAAGGGCCAAAGATGGGTGTTTGCTGGGCAATTGCTTTCCCCCAAACATGAAAAAAACCCGGAAAAAACAGCTTTTTATGGAAGGTTAAACCCGTTTTTTTTTTTTAAAATAAAATGTTTCCATAAAAACCCGTGCCAGAAAAACACCGGTTCTTTAAAAAACGCAAGTTTTACTTTTGTTTCAATCAAATCACTTTTTACTCGGGGGAGATAATTTTGGAAAGATCCTTCATTTGGGTTTGCCCAAATCACCGGCCAGTATGTTTTAAATAAGTGAAACCCCTGATCAGATCAGATCGACTGGTCGAAAAACCCCCGTTTGGGCCGAGCCCTTGACTGGTCCGAAACCCCTTTACTGTTTTTCAAACGGGTTTTGTTGGCAATAAAGCAGACTGTAAACGGAGGGGTTTTAGGCGCCCCTTTTTCAAACACAAAAAAATAAATATACATCAGGAACGTACACGGTTTAAACTGGGGCCCAAAATACAAAACAGTTAGAAAAAAGAAATACAAATACTAAAAAGCTTCATTTAAAGGGGGTTATTAATAGAGTATTAAGAGGTTGCTAGTAGAATTACAGTAAATCAACCATTTAAAACATATGAAGCTCCCGTGGGAGTCTGCGGTCAATCAAACAGGGGTTTTTGAAATAAGTAGCTAAATTCTAACCCCCTAAAAATTAGTGAGAAAAAAGCGGTTTGGCCCTCATATAAAAGAATGGGTCATTGGTCAATGGGCAATAAAAAAAAAATCCTGCAGCAAACAGTCGTAATGAGAAAAAAACTTTGACATTTTTTTTGGTTTAAAACAGCGACTTTGCATGTTTTTTTTTTGTATGGTTTTTGATGATTTTATTTTTCCCGGGGTCTCTTTTTATAGAATGGAAGACATTTACAGAAATTGAGCGATTTTGATTGGTTTTTAAAATGAAAATACCTTGAAATGGCTCAAAGTAGCAAAAAATCTTAAATTTTTGCCAAAGTTAAAAAGTAAACAAATCATGCAAAGCGTCTAATACCGCACTGGTGAGTCAAATATTCTTCACAAGTGCGTGATATTTTTTATACCATTTCTACACTAATGAAATTTTTTTTTAGATTTTGCCCCCGAAGTGGCTGTTTATTGTGCCCCCTTTCCCATCCTGGGAGGGAGCGCGGGCATATGGATACACAAAAGGCTAGGAACTGGGCCCCCAAAGGGGGTTACAGGAATACTTGGGATTTTTTTACATTCTATAGTTCACTTTCGTTACAAGCAAATTTGGGAAATTTCTTAGTATATTGGTTCTTATTTTCATTAAAAAGATATTTTGGGAATGTCACATAGGTTATTATATGTCTGTCTCTGTTTCCTAAATAGTGGAAATTAAGACATGTGTAATGCAGTGTCTGCAAAACGTAAATTTTCTATTTTTTGTGAGATAAAAAATTCAAAGGGAAAAAGCAAAAAAAATGTAAGGGGGCGTGGGGACGGACTAATGAAAAGGGAAATTTTTTTTTTAGTGCAGGAAGTCTTCTTGTTTATTCTGACCTATTTGGAAATTTGGCATTTTTTGAAATTTTTTGTGAAATTGGCAAAAAAGGCTAAATTTGACCCCTTTATTTGGGTAGTTGAAATGGGAAAAGGGTGGTTTCTTTTCTATTGATAAAAAAGGAGTTCTAGAGAAAAGTTATGATTTTTTTCGATAGTACATGGGAAATTTACGGAAAATTGGGCTAAAAAATGGGCAAATTTTCCGATGTGTAAAACTCGTCGAGCCCTAAACTTCGGGAGATAATTCCCAAGTTTTCATAAATTTCATACTTTTTGGGGTCTTTATGATCGGAAAAGATTTTCCCCATCTTTGAAAAATTTTGGGGACCCTGAGAACAAGTCTTGGAGAGGGCCTGGCGACCCTGAAAAGGTTAAAGAAGGAGTTTGGGATATTGGCAGTTTGGAGGGATATGTTGTGTATCTTTATACGTATATGCTTCTAAACTGTTGTATTCTGAGCACCTCTGCAAAAACAGTGATTGTGTGAGTGAGGTGAAAGTGTTGAATGATGATGAAAGTATTTTCTTTTTGGGGATTTTCTTTCTTTTTGGGTCACCATGCCTCAGTGGGAGATGGCTGACTTATTAAAAAAAAAAAAAACTGAACTGAACTCTTAGAGTTTATACAGTGTATGAAAAATGGGAAGCATAAGTAGTACACGTTATATTTACTGTCAACAGATAAACAGAAGACTGAAAGGGGGCTCAAACCGTGGTCTATGCTATTAGCAGGCCTGACGCTGTGGCCACTCAGACACGAACCTTCATACACAGTGTATGAAGGTATATATATAGGCATGTGAATAATTCATAAGTTGCATTAAAAAATAACGTCATTGATAATAAGCTAAAAAAAAACATTAGCCCAAAAAGGTTTAACTCTGTCTCTTTTATAAAAGGAAGTAATGTTAAATTTGTTACGTAAATGATACTGACGCAGCCGCGGCAACACAGACGGGAACAGACACGAGGGTAGTTCGCGTCTCCTTGCCACCGAACCCTCCACCCATCCTCTTGACTCGGCAAACCACCCTACTGTTCGGCACATCAAGGGCTTTAGCAACCATTATCTGAGTATTGGTGGGACACTGAGAAGATGAAAATAACTCCATTTCTCCATCTTCACATTTAGGCACTGCAAGGTGGGAATTTGTTTCCAAGTAGAAGTGTTCCTGCCCACCCATATGCATCTCGCCCTCCAGCACATGGTCAGAGCTCTTGAAAGCTGTCTCTACATCACCATTACGTATTGTCCAGTGATCCAACCATGATTTCTCACGAATTGCATCCTAAAAAATATTAATAACCTTTTAAATAATTTGTAGAGTAAGTCTATATTTCAGATGGCAACTTAAGAAATAAACTATCTTATCTTATCTAACTATGTAACAACAATTTACATAAAATAACAGTAGTAACAGCCAGTTACCTGAATAGTTATTATGACTGGCTCAATATTTTGGTACTGTATTTTCACCAACTTGGCTGCCCTCTGTGCAGTGACCTGATCCCTAGCCACCACCAGCCCCACCACCTGGCCCACACACTTCACTGTCTTAGATGCAAACACTTCTTCATCTGAGGCAATGCAGCCGGTTACATTTCTCTCTCCTGATGTGAAAAAACACATTAATACATGAAAATATTTGAAAATATATGAAAAATTTATTTCTAGTTTTATTTTAACTTAAATACCTTATTGGCAGTTTGGAGGGATATGTTGTGTATCTTTATATGTATATGCTTCTAAACTGTTGTATTCTGAGCACCTCTGCAAAAACAGTGATAATGTGTGAGTGTGGTGAAAGTGTTGAATGATGAAAGTATTTTCTTTTTGGGAATTTTCTTTCTTTTTTGGGTCACCCTGCCTCGGTGGGAGACGGCCGACTTGTTGAAAAAAAAAAAAAAATTTTTTTTTTAACAAGTCGGCCATCTTCCACCGAGGCAGGGTTAATAGGTTAATTCTGATTTGAAGCTTGAAATCTGCATACAGAAGCCTAAAACATACACTTTTACCTCAGTAGAAAATTTATTGTTGTTGAGTGTTATTAACAATTTGAAGCAAGGTAATATTACATTTTAGAACATGTAATCTGTATTTTTTCTCCCATATCAAGAAATATTAACTAATCCCAGTTAACACAAAACATCATTTACATTGTGGTGGAATTGTGGTCTTCATATAACCAAAAAAATATCTAGTGTATAGACAAAGAACCAACACACAGATAATGTTTATGGGAAGTACATTATATGCTTCCTGCCAATGAATCATCAATGACTTAAAAAGATTTTTATTCAAACTCACAACAGACATCTTCCCCGGCCAGTGAATGTCGTGGGAAGACTTATTAAGTTTCTACAAGACGAGTTTGAGTTGCTTAATTATCTTTTCTAGTAGAGGGTGGAGAATGGTCCAGGACAGACCAAAATGTCTTCATAAGTTTCCTCTCCCAAGTACAGTTATTTGCGATTTGTTCCAGCCACAGTATTGTGACTAGCCATTCTTTCTTCTCTGTGGATCAGTAAAGCAGTGTTGGATATGAATTAACATCCAACAGTATGCACTCACCTGGGAGGTCCCGCGCGCAGAAGAATCTCTCTACTCCTTCCACTTTCAGGGCCTCAGACTCGTCGATGCTGAGGATGTTTGCGTGAGCACGAGAGGAGAGGACAAGGGCAGCGTGTAGCTGGTTGGTGAAGGAGGGCATATCACCCACATACACTGCCTCTCCTGTAGCCTGCTTCAGTGCTGACGTGTGTGTCATGGGCCGGCCGATGGAGTCAATGGAAATTTGTCCTTCAGGCACCTACAAAGATTGTCTTATTACCTTTTAGATAGACCATAAAAAGTGAGTAGTTGCCACATCACCTGCATTAAAAGTTATGGACACCATTCCCAGCATCAAAAATACTTCAAATGGAGTGATTTTTTTTGGTAGTGTTAGTTATTTTTCATAATTTATGGTTAATTTTCCTAATTTTTAGTTATTCCTCACAATTTTTTTGTGATTTTTCGTTTTTTGATAACCGAGATATTTCTGGTAATTTTTTTAGTTGTTTTTCATGACTTTTAGTTATTTTCCATAATGAATAGTCTTAATGAAAATATTTTCTTCCTCTTTTAGCATTACCGAGAAAGGAGGGTCTGTATGATGCTAAAATGATCTGATTTTACATTTTAAGTTTATATTCTGAATCAGCATAGAAAATACTACTCCTGGTGTGATTTTAAGTAATTTTTAAAATCCAGCCAAAAATGGCAAAACACGCTGAATTATATATAGTTCAGGGATTTTTTTGGGTGAAAAAACTTTCTCTCAAGATGGAAAATGGTCATGATGCTGTTTGCTGGATCAATTGCTTCCCACAAACATGAAAAAGTCTGGTATATACAGCTTTCATGGAAGGTTACCAGTTTTTTTTTAAGATAACT